TTATTTCAGTAATTCAATTCAAAAAAGTGAAACTCATATCATATAGATTCATTACACACAGAGTGAAATATTTCAAGCCTTTATTTCTTTTAATTTTGATTTGCACATTTTAAAGTTTTATAAACTATTAGAAATTACCCCTTGTACAAAACTGCCCATCTCAGCCAGGGAAGATGGAACATTCATTTATGTTCAATTCAGCCTTAAAAAAACACAATTACATTAATATTCCTTCTTGTAAATGAATAAACCAAGAAAACTTGGATTTACCATCTCAGCCCATTTACAACATCAACTGACCCATCACCGTGGCAACCGACGAAACACCATCCGCCCATGAAGGTCATAAAATAGAAAAACTTATTGGGAAATGTCCAATAACTCTACCTTTTTAAAATAGTACTTTACAACTGTTCCCAGTGTCAATTATAAACCTTCAACCTCAGTTAGCATTATTAATAATACAATAATCAGAAGGTTTCACAGACTTTTTGTTCTGGCTAGTCAAACATTTCTAGATGTTTGGGCAATTTGGACTTTTGAACTCAGTATAAACTCCCTAAAATCCCAGCTATGGCCCGAACACTGAACTGTTGATTGTGCATCCATATATCTTTAGCTGTAAACCTTTGTAAAGTGTCTTATTAAGTGTCAATGCATGTAAGTGACTTTAACATAACCAGTGTGTCTAAAAGAAGCAATACCACAGTGTAAAACTAAACTCCATTAAAGTAAAAGAATACAGAATTATTATCATATTTATGGTGTTTTTCTTCTGGCTCTTATATTTTGTATGTAAAATCTTGATCTATAATCGTAACTACAGCTGAGAATTAAATGTAATGGAGTAAAAAAGTACAAAAATTAAGTACAAATAGCTCAACATTATGCCTATTTGAGTACATTTACTTTGATAATACACTGTAATTTCTAAATCAGGTGTACATTTGGATTAAATACATGCTGTATTCTCCTGTACAGTTCACATGGATCAGACCCGTCCTTAGACAGCAGACAGTAACTACTCTCAGCTTCTTTTCATCTGTTGCACATCTCCGTGAGTAGAAGGTGTAACCTAATGGGGGGAGGACACCTGAGACTCTCTGCTCTCAGCTGATAAATTAATGAGCATCTGAAGAGTATCCTCTGTCCCCTTCCCATGTGATCTGATATGAAGTCAGGAAGAAAAAAAGAAACTCCTTTGACCGATGAAGAAGCAAGCTGTTGTCTTAATGCTGCACCAGAAGTTCAGTTATATAACAGCAAAGTGAAGGAGACTCTATAGAGAGCATCACAAAACACACACTATTAGTGTGATTTCAGCTACAGTAATGCAGATTTATGGGTGCATACAGGCACATAGATTTATTATGTGATTCTCATATTGCTTATTTGTATCATGTCAAGAGTCTAAACAGGTTTGTGTTTATATCCTCTATAAAATATAATCCATAAACAGGAATGACAATGCTCATAACACACAAAAACCTCTTGCTTTTGATGCATAATTAAACTAATAAAGGGGTTCTTACAGCTTTTTCCAGAGCTTTTAACCACATGTCTTCATTAGCAGGGTTTGCTCTGAAGCTCTAGAAAAAGCTAGTAAGTGGACCTTGAGTTAAGATAATTTATTTTATGTCAAGAATGAGCTTCTTTATTCGATTAATTATTTCAATGGCTGCTTTTGCTCTTACAGTTGTCGTATAATAAATTGAATATTTGGGGGTTTTGGACAAGACATTTATTGAAGTCACTTAGCGTAGTGTGATCTGCTTTTTCCTCTGTTTTATAATCTTTCATAGATGAATCACTTAATCAAGAAAATGAACGCCATATTAATCTGTAACAACATAAAAGCACATTCCCAGTTGGATTAGGGCTGCAGAACCCTTGTTTCCTGTCTGTATGTTCACTGTCCCATAAAAATATACATTTAATGTAAGAAAAAGAAACTCTGATTGTCACCAATATGAATAAATAATACAGTTTAAACTGCAGGATCTCCTTCCTCCATTCTTGCCACAACTTTTCAAATCTAAAAAAATCCAATGTTGAACCCTGGTTGAACACCCAAAGAAATAACAGGTAGCACCCACAGATTGCGGCCTGATGGTCTTCATCAGAGCATCACATTTTGAATAAAATGTTGCTTATAAACCAGATTTTATGAGTTCCACAGACACCACAATTCCTACTTTACAGGGTCAGACGGGAGGAAAAGAAGCACACAAATTCTCCTTTGGTGTGGTCATGTTATCATGTAGCACCTATGCAAATACACAGTCCATGCCCTTTGCAGAAACACTCATCTTACTCTTATCTGAAGCATGTGATGTTGGGCACCTGGCACATACAGGTAGAGCGAAGGTTCAGGAACGACTCAGAGGAGGAAACAATTGATGAGATTTCTGATTAAATGTTGTGATAGGGTTTGAATCCACCTATAATAAGAGCCCTTGTTTTTTATTAGTATTGACCTAATGTTCCTTCCTGTTGACCCTGTGTTGCTTAATTACACTTATTTCTGACCTGCTCGTTTACAGACGACTTAGGTAACAGATAGCGTCTGTAGCAACCAAGTGTTTACTTCTGTTTTTCAGCTCTTTTAATGTTACTTTTTCTGGATTTTAGATTCAAGCACTTAATCCAAAGTTAATTCCCGTTCTTTTCTTGCTGAATTTAGCAACATGTATGTGCTTAGCCTTTAACAAAAGACAGGTTCCTTTATAACAAATGTTTACTGAGCATTTACATAGTATTGTTGACTTTTCATAGAGCAGTTTCTGCAGAACAAAGTAACTCGGGGGGCCTTGAGCGGCACTTTCACACCGCATTAAGTAAGTAACACAGTGGTATAATATGCACACATATTTCTTTTAGTATTCCATGTTTGACTTAGATGTGACCTTTGAGACAAAAAAGCCCTGTTGACATAAAGGAGGCCCTCCATAGTTCTCTTTAATAAGTTACTATGTATTCTGTTATGTGTGGGTGAGCTGCTCGGCAAAGCCTCAGAGATCACAGCAGGAAGGGAACGTTCGGAAATCACTAACCAGCTGCAAAAGCCCTTCAATAGCACAATGTTTGAGCTGGAGGGAGAGAGGAGGCTCCAAGGGCACCGAGGACTGTGCTGCCCTCATAATTGAGCTGAAGGTTCATTAGATTCTCAGGTTTCGTCCCCCGTGCCAGCTTCACTGTTGACCCGTAACAGCAAAGTTGAATGAGTTGATGAAGAGCAGTTGGGGTGTCCTTTGCCTGATGTTTATAAAAATGATGATTTGCATCAATCGAAGTGTCTGTAATTATTTTTATTGTTTGTTTTGTGGATGTAGAAGTCACAGAAATATGACTTTTCTTTCAAATGTGCTCAACATTTGTTATCTCTTACATGACTTAGACTGTGGCAATCTCGAGTTAAGGAAGGTTTATTATTCTCACTCAAACAGTGTCACCTGCTCAAACATCATACAGCCGAGTGTTGACATCAGCTAAAACAATCTGAGGTAAACAGTGAGAGTCATCTCATAACACATCTACAACACATAGCATAGAATTTGTTCATATGACTAAATTTTCTAGTTTATTAGTTCTTATTTTTCGACATTTCTTAATGTCAGACATTGACTGACTGTCTCCATCTTGTAGGACTCCAACCAAACTGTGTTTTAGATTAATAAATGAATTATTTGTTCAATTAAACATCAGTAAACAGTGTAAAATACCCATCACAATCCCCTGTAGCCCAATATCAAAGCTTAAAATATCTTGTTTTTGTCCAAAATCCCACAAAATATTCAATTCATTATTATGTAAGATAAGAAAAGCAGCAAATTCTCACTTTTGCGAAGCCTAAAAACATCAAATGTCTATTGCACAAACCAATCAACCTCTAACGTTACATTAGATTAGGATTAAAACAGTTGCAGAATAATCAACTCATTCTTGCAGCTGTACCATCTTCATAAAGATTGTTTGACTGTGACATAAGTTGCAGACTTTATCCTTCTGAGCTTAACAAAAGATAGTTAGTATTTTATAAATATAGAAAGTTGTCAATAAACCAAACCAATACATTCAACCAAATCAACAGCTTTTACTGCATGTTGACCAGCAAGAACAGGTCCTGCAGCAGTATATTAGTGACATTAAATCGCTTTCAGGTGACTTCTTACTTTCTTATGACGAGCCGGTTGAAGGAGATCAGATGTGAAACTGTCCCGCCATGCTTACAGACTCTTTACCTCCTCTGTTTTCTTTTTAATTCTTCTCCTCAGGTGATCATGCACAGGTGCAGCATCTCTCTCCCTCTGCCCCTTTCTCTCTCTCTCTCTC